AAGTGTATTGAGCGAAAAATTCTTGAAATTTGTATAGGGTTAGCTTGCTGGTTTTGTTATTTCCCGATATAAAATAGAAGGTGAAAAAATATGGCAAGTATTGTCTCGATCCCAGCTTTTAAAGTCTTCTCCGTTAACAAAGGCACCAGAGAGTATAGAGGATCAAGTGCTACTCGTGGGCAATGTCAAGATATTAGGGTGATGAGGATGGAAAAGCCGTTGGAAGAGCTGTACAATGTGAGGGTGGAGAGAAATGTAACGAAAGAGCGACTGACAGAGCTTGGCATTTCGAAATGGTCGATTTGGAAGACAGGCAAATGCAAGCTTCCATGGGACTGGCATGTTGATCAATTAGTTTATATTGAGGAAGGGGAGGTGAGGGTTGTGCCTGAAGGGAGTCAGCGTTATATGCAATTTGTAGCTGGTGACCTTGTTCGCTACCCCAAATGGTTTGAAGCTGATCTTTGGTTCAATGGCTTCTATCAGGAGCGCTATAGTTTCAGAGCATACGGTGATGACTAGTGGAAAATTTTTATTTCCTAAAAGCAGTTATATATGGAATGTTGGTTTTTTTTTTTCCCCCCTTAATGTCCAGCTGGAAACAATTTTGTCTCCATATTGATGTATCTCTAGAGTCGATAACTTTATTTGAGATGTGGCTGAGCATGAATGTTTTGTTGTGACTATCAGATTATTGTATAATTGGCTCATTTGCAATGACTCTCGTTCGAGGGTGGCCGTAATGACATAATACTTTTACCGAATAAATGCAGACTCCCAAAAAAAAAAAAAAAGGGAATTCAATCGCGCTACTGCGCTTGGTGAAGATTTTGAATTTATCATGCATGGTTCTCATCCAAAAAGCATATTAGACCTTCTCTTTCTGTCGTTTGCCACGTACAATTATCTTGAGCAAGATTTTTCAATACTTAGTTGGTTATGGAAGAATCAGATCCTCCTTTTCTGTTATCCATTCATCATTGGAAGAAATATCATCAAAACAAACATTCAATCGTTCATTTTCAGATTTTGCAGGTACTTGTTTCAATCCTAGTGCAATCATATACGATTTTATAGGATTCTACGTGACTTTAAAGTTATTCTAGTGTGATCCTATAAAATTATGGTTCTACACTATGAATCGTTTTGTGTTTCTAGGATCGTATGATCCTATGATTCAGATGGCAGTTTTGATAACTATTAGGTACATCCAAAGCCGATACTTGTTGTAGCGATTTGATCTCTATATCCAAATCGTTAATTTACGTACTATACACCCTGAAAGAGCCTGAATCCATCTTACCACTCACAAATTTTTCTCGCATCCTCCAAGATTCAAACCCAAGACCTTTACTACTTGTACAATTTGTACTAGAATTTAACTTAAGTTTTTCATAAGGCAAAAGTCTTAAGTTCAAATCTCATGAAGAACGCGACAAAAAGTCATGAGAGGCAAGATGGATCAATAACCTCCTAAAGTGTATGTTACGTAAGAGAACGACTAGACACGATATTCGAGTCGTTACACTTTTATAGTCTAAAACAACATGCATAACGTTTTACTTTTAAAAAATTTGAATGGTTATAATGTATTGACAAAAATATACTTTTAATGAATAATAACTTTGACTAAATCAACATGGCACTCCACAAAATCTCCTTCCCAAAGTCTTCAAAAGTTGGACAAGTCAAGTCAATAATCAATTCCCTTTGGTGATATGGATCCCAACTTAATCGAAAGTAGTTAGTGATATGGATCCCAACTTAATCGAAAGTAGTTAGTGCTCAAATTGAGCGAGCTTTGGATCATAAATGATGACTATAGCTTAATTTTGCTTATCTCACGCCAAACTACAAATAAATGTGAGTGTCTATCTTCACTCACTATAAAGGAGAAAGGCATGTTGTGTGATTTTTTTGGTTAAACTTTATTCGATTTTTTTATTTTTATTTTTATTTTACTAGGGAATAGGTGGTGATATGGATCCCAACTTAATCGAAAGTAGTTAGTGCTCAAATTGAGCGAGCTTTGGATCATAAATGATGACTATAGCTTAATTTTGCTTATCTCACGCCAAACTACAAATAAATGTGAGTGTCTATCTTCACTCACTATAAAGGAGAAAGGCATGTTGTGTGATTTTTTTGGTTAAACTTTATTCGATTTTTTTATTTTTATTTTTATTTTACTAGGGAATAGGTCGAGTAAAAAAGGCACGATCTTGAGGTAAGAGAATTGAAAGCACGGGAAGAAATATAAATATAATATTGAGCACGTAAACTATAGTTATATATAAGCTAAATAAGTAATTACTTTTCCAAATGACTATGACAAAGTAAGAGTTCAAAAATATGAGATTGAGCATCTAGAATAAAATTATATTTCAGTCAATAGCTATGAATTACATGACGCTGGTATTGCCTAAGACAACATGAATATTTTATTACATTAAAAACAATAAATAATTAACGAGTACCGACAAAAATATACTTTGAGCGAATAAATGAAACTCCAAAATAAATGAATCCAATTGCTTGTATATGATGATGATTTTGCATTTTCATTTGTGGTGCTCAACCACAAATTCTATTAGAATTTCTATTTCTCACATTTCTCATTGCATCTTGGAGCAAGATTTTTAATATGCCTCATGCAACGACATGCATAATAGATATTAGACAATTCTTCATATTTTAGCGCCACAAATATGATCAAGGATGTCAAGGTGAAACGTAATGATGGTAGATAACAAAGTGGCATGATGTGGGTCCTCCACATTTATTCAACTTACCTTATTCGATACGTTCATAGCTTTCTTTAACAACATGAATACCATATCACGTTTAAAACTATTAAATGATTAATGAGTATTGACAAAATATACTTTTAACAAATAAATGTCGACTCCGAAGTAGAAGTATCTAATTGCTTGTGTTTGATGATGATTTTGTATTTTTCATGTATGGTTCTTAACCACAAACTCGATTAAAACTCCTCTTTCTCACATTTGTCATCAGATTTTGGAGCAAGATTTCACAACATTTGCCATGCAACTATATGCATAATACATATCAGGCAATTCCTCCGATTTTAGCATCACAAATAAGATAAAGGATGATGCCAAGGCGAACAGTAATGATTGTCAATAACAAACTAGCATGATCTATGCATATTTATTCGACGAGCTCAGTTTGTTAGCTTTCTTTAACAACATAAATACCATATTACATTCAAAAGTATTAAATGATTAACGAGCATCAACAAAAAAATACTTTTAAGGAATAAATGCAAACTGCGAATTAGAAAAACATAGTTGCTTGCGTTTAATGATGATTTTGAATATTCATTCGTTGTTCTCAACCACAAATTCTATTAGAATTTGTATTTATCACTTTTTCATTGCATCTTGGAGAAAAAATTTGCACTATATCACCCCATGCAATCATATGCATAGTAGATATTAGGCAATTCCCCTATTAGAAAAAATAATAATAAGATCGAGAATGATGCCAAGGTGAAAGTTAAAGATGGTCAAATAAATAACCAACTAGCATGATGTAGTCCTACACACTTTTTTGACTTACGTTATTCGACGCACTGATTTTGTTAACTTTCTTTAATAACAAGAATATTGTAATACATTCAATAATATTAAATGATAACAAGTATTGACAAAAAAATAATTTTAAGTAATAAATGGAAACTCTGAAATAGAAGAATTCAATTGATCGCGTTTGATGATGATTTTGCATATTTCATACATGGGTTTCAACCACAAACTATTCTATAACTTCTCTTTCTCACACTTATCGTTGCATCTTGGAGCAAAATTTTATAATATGCTTGGTGCAAACCACGTGCATAATGGATATTAGGCAATTCTTCATATTTTAGCATCACAATATCTTGGTGCAAAATTTTACAATCTGCCCCTTTGCAACCACATGCACAATAGATATTAGGCAATTTTTCACTCTTTAGTATCATAAAAATTGGAGCAAGAGTTTGCAATATGTCCCATGCGACAATATACATAGTAGATAGTAGGCAATTCCCTTGGTGTCAAAAATAAGATCGAGAATGACGCCAAGGTGAAAGCTAATGATGGTCAATAAATAACCAACTGGCATGAGGTAGGTCCTTCATATTTTTTCAACTTACCTTATTCGATGAATTGATTTTGTCAAACTTTCTTCAGTAACAAGAATACATTTAATAACATGAAATGATAACGAGTATTGACAAAAACATACTTTTAAGTGATAAATGCAATCTCAAAAATAGAAGAATCCAATTGATTGCATTTGATGATGATTTTGCATATTTCACACATTGGTTTCAACCACAAAATATTTTATAACTTCTCTTTCTCACAATCATCGTGGCATTTTCAAGCAAAATTTATATGTCCTGTGCAAACCACGTGCATAATAGATATTAGGCAATTTTTCATATTTTAGCATCATAAAATCTTGGTGCAAAATTTTAAAATGTGCCCTGTGCAACCACATTCAGTGCAGATATTATGCAATTTTTCATATTTTAGTATCACGAAATATTGGAGCAAGACTTTGCAATATGTCCTGTGCAACCACGTGTATAATAGATCACTACAACAAAGTTTACTTTTTATAACGTGCAATGCACATCGTAAAAAGTTCTTTACGACGTACAGGCGCATGCTGTATAAAGCTATGCCGTAAATACTCGCATCCTTTTACGGTGTGTAATAAAGGAAAGCATGCCATTAATGTCTATCTCACAGTGTGCACTTGCACGCCATAAATACTCAGCTCTTTTACGGCGTGTATTTGCACGCCGTAAATACACTTCTTTTATGAATGCACGCCGTAAATACACTTCTTTTATGGCGTGCACTTACACATCGTAAATGTGAATTTCATTTTTTTAAAATATTTATTTATTAAATTACCAATAAGCTTATAATAATAAAAAATAAAATAAATATACCGTCACATATAACATAACCATGTTTTCCATAATTTCAATGAATAAAAGTATTAAGTGCTATCAAATACAATATACCAAAATGTAGAGTTAATCTAAATGATTACTAAGAACATTATTAGCTAGTCAAAAATTCGATATCAATATACCAAAAGTATCGATTACTGCTCCAAAAACAACTTACTAAAATAATAAAAAATATTCGACACATATTGAAGACATCCCATAATCATGGTGATCTCCTGTTGGCAAGCAAGCATTTGGACCAAATTTGTAGCTTGTAACATGGTCAGCGGATATCGGATTGCTGCATGCCATATGCTTTATTTTAGTCTGTGAAACTGAGTAGTCCTGGAACCAAAAATAAAGAGAAAAATTAATTGATCATGGTGTACTTTTTAAAAATAAATGCCAAGTGACAAACATCAATTTCATTTCACTTGGCCTAGTGTATATGGCTATTGTAATTTATGAATAAGATCCTCTTTATTATGGTTCTTGTCCATAATTTACAAGTAAACAACAAAACCAGTAAAATAAGACAAAAAAAACTGCTAAAAGAGCAAACTGGACATACCCAAGTCATGGCTACTTGTGCAGCTTCTTGGACTTCATGAACCAATCCAATTTCAAGTAATGGAAGAATATGCATCTACATTATTTAACTAACGGCAACTAAAAAGAAAAATAAAAACCATGGCAATGTGACTCAAAACCATAGCCGAAGGTTAGCCACAAGACATCATAGATCAATTTGTAGAGAAACTAGACTAGATAAATGGTGGCAATGGGAATTAATATTCTTTAGTCACTATCATAATCAAGAGGTCCATTTGTAAAAATAACGAGACCATAAAATTTATAAGAATGATAGATAGCAATTTGTTTAAATAAGCAAGACAAGAAATAGTAACTTTCTGTTATTTAGGAAAAAAGATTCTGTTATTCATTTGAATCGTGGCTTGATATTTCCCCACTAATTAATTATGTCCAAAGACCAATAAACAAAAAAGAAACAAAAAGGAGAATAATAAAGATTAGTCATTACCCAACAAGAGCACAACAAACTCCTGCCCGGGAAGCATCAAAGGCCTTGTGCATATATTACTGTAAGAACAAGATAATCAGAATGACAGAGTAAACTGTCATCTAATAACTACGAGCTACAGTTAATATGGAGATGCAAAAAAATCTAAACCTCAAATACTACAAGGAGAACATATGGATGAGGCAATGTTGTTGTACCAAGCTTTCTAACAGCACACTCTCAATAAACTCTGTTTCATGCATGGCCTTTGGTTGCAGTTCTTCCAGTTAAACAGGAAAGTGTACAGCTAGTGAAACAGGAAAGATAACTTATAATTTTGACTGTTCGATAGGCCAAAAAAATAAAAATTTTAATCATCATTTCCAGATCATTTTGTCCAAATGTATTCTCTATATTCTAACAACCTAATAGTTACTGTAGCATGCACAGAATGAACTACTGGTGTAGGAACTTTGCTTTCACCAAATTGAAATGAAAATGCACTTCAAAATATAGAGAACAGAGATAAGAATGAGAATATACAGGTAAAGCCACCAGAGCAGAAGAAAAGCCTATCTAGTCTCACAAAGATAAGATTACTCAATTTTATTTACTTAAACTTTCTAACATTCCCCGGGGATATTGGGAACCAAGCCTCAGGCGCTATAGGTTTTGTGGTAGATTATTGAGAGTTCAGTTTTTTGTAATGGCAAGGAGGATGAGAGATGGTGGCTTTTGCCCACCATCCTGTTACTGCTCAAGGCAATTCAAGCTCGGTTTGTCGATTGACACATAGCAAATTTAGAAGTCTGAGATTTTTCTCTCTTCATTCCTAACCTCGATACCTTTTGAGCCTACGAATCTGTTTCTTGATGCAAAACTATTTGTGGGAGGAAGTTGTTGTAAAATTTTGTTTCACAAGTGTACGAGCCGTAACAAGTAATAGTGGACCTAAGAATCCGGATTGTCGATCCCACAAGGACTATTTTCTAGCACTTAATTCAATTTTTTCTTTAACTACTATTTGATGAAAACAAATTAAAAGTGTATGATTTGAATTTTAATCTAAAATCTAGAAAATAAATGAATGCTCACACGATTGATTGGAAAGTCAAATAATGAATAGATGTTATGGCAGAATAACTTCACCTATTGATCACTTTTACATATCAAATTAAAACTCAATTATAATGTAGTGTTCGGTCGAATTCTCCTATTGTATTCAATTTAGCCTTTTCGAGTTCTCATTGAGCCTATTGGACTAATTAAATTTCATATCTCTATACAAGTTCAACTTAGTTAAACTAGTTCTTTGTCCTAGAAATTCAATTATGACCGCAATAAATAGTATATGTATCTCTACTCATTATACGAATGTACTGAATTTTACTACATGATCTAAATCCTAAACTCATATCTCTATTTGTAAAGGATTCACATAAATCATCAAACTATTGATCAGATAATTTAATGCCTTCAATTCATAGCAAAATCAACACATGAAAAAAATGAAAAGCTAAGAATCTTAATAAGAGAACATAAAGGATCCCAGTTGGTTACATAATTCATCCTAACAATAAATTTAACTTTCATAATGCAAGAAGAAAAATAATCAATTGTCTTCGAATACATCATCGCATTTGTAATAAAGATGTAGAAGAAAAAGTAAAATTCTTGTACCAAGATCTCATTCTCATTCCAATCAATGCTTCAAATTTTCAATTGCTTAGTGTTATTCTTCTTGAATTTCTCTTTTGAATCTCCATTTTTGTTGTCTTGCCTCCCAATGTGTGAAGAATCCCTCAAAAGTATAAGAAATATGTACTTATAGGTGCCCCCTCCGTTTTGTATAGAAATTAAGATTTTTATGGATTTTAAGATGACCCCTACGCCTAAGCGCTACATTTGCAATGCCTAAGCGCTGATGGTGGCGCCTGGGCGCTATGATTGGAGCACCTAGGCGCTACCTCTCAGTTCAAATTTCAGTTTTTCTTCAGTTTTGTGGCGTCTAGGCACTGTATTTTTGTGGTGGCTAGGCGCTACGAATACAGCGCCTAGGCACTGTCTTTCTGCTCCAATTTCCTTATTTTTGATCTCTTCATCCGCTTTAGTTCCTCTTTTTGCATCGCCTTTCCTAATCTTCAAAACAACACTAACAAACACATCAAAAACGTTATATACTCACAAGATCTAGCAAATAATTCAGCTAAAATTGTGCAAAATTCATGAGTGAAACAAACTCATCAAATACCCCCAAACTTAATCGTTTGCTAGTCCTCGAGCAAACAAACACATCAAACAATTAAATCACCAAAGGACGATATAGACAAGCATACAAAAGATAATTGGTTGGACAATCAAGCTTTTTACTTCAAGATTTGAGATTTTGATGTTTATTCCACAAACATGCTCCAAGTCAAAATACCAAACCAATATCTACTCTTCCAGTGCAAAATCGACGTGTGTGTATGAAGAATTAAGTAATCCACCATAACTGCACAAGTTGTTTCAACTCTAACCCTCTGTAGTCAAATATATCCTTACATTTCTCGTGCGATTCATACACCCCCAAACTTATTCTTTTGACTCATTCTCAATGTATAATCTGAGATTGAATATTTCATTAATATCCTCACCCTCTTGAGTTCAGATGGACGTTACTAGTTTCAAGTCAACACTTTAGTAAACATGGATTCTCCAATTATTTGATATCTTCAACTGCCACGACTAACAAGCTAATTATCCTTCATCGAAAGTCAAATTTTCTCAAATAAGTGTTAGAACTTAACCAAGGTAGTTAGTGCTTTTGCTCTTTTCATGCATTTACTTTTTCCATTTTTCACAAGTTTTTTTCCCATTTTTTTGTTTGCATTCTCTTCATTAAGCTTTCTAGATGACCCCTATAACAGGCTTTAGGCCGATGATTTCCAAATCAGATGATTTTAGGGAACTAGGTTTTAAACACCCTTACAGACTTACTGACCCGAATAAAAAAGGCTTCGAAGAAAACCAATTTTTGTTTCAAGTACAGCGTCATCTTTGATTGCCTTCTAAATGACCCATGTAGCGGACTTTAGGCCAATAACTCTCAAGTCAGATGACTTTAGGGCACCATGTTTTAAGATACCCTTGCAGGCTTAATTACTCGAGTCATTAAAACCTAAAAGAGAAGTTTTTTCAATTTCAAATGTACATGCCTTGATTAGTGCAATGCTCCTATCACACATTTATTCAAACAAACCAACCTTCAACTTAAGACTTTCGCCTAGTTTTATGATGCTAGTCTAAGGCAATCCACACATAAGTTTTCACATATGGAATCTAAATTCACATTTGCATCTTCCTACAACTATAAAGCCACCCCCAAATTGTGTTAAATTTGGTCTAAGGATAAATAATTTACTTTGATTTAGGAAAAACATCTATGTCCAATTAAATCAACCTATCTAACAGATGAATCAACTCATTTCATCACAGCGTCAAACTCAATTTTGGCGCACATATAATATCGAGTTTTGCAAGGTTAAGTTTAAATCAATCTAGCATACATCCTATGCACAGTTCATAAATCAACACCAAATCTCAAAAGTAAAAAGTAATTGTAAGCCAAAATGTCAAACTCAAAAAAATTTCAGGTGGGCAATTAATAATAATACACTTTCCCAAACTTAAATTAAACATTGTCCTCGATGTTAAACTTAAAGGAAAATGAGAGAGGACTTCCATGAAATGTCAGTATTGCCTATGATGTTGTGGCATCTTGGTGTTGTATTTTGATCGACTCTTCTTCCACACTCTTTCCCAAACTTGAGCTTTGTTCTATTTTCTCCATGTCCATGTTGGTTTGAGTGTTTCGCGACGTCATGTTCTTGAAAAATTAAACTCATGGAATAAGGGTTACTTAACTCAAACATCTAATAATCAACTTAATTACTCAAAGACCTATAAGTAGAAGATGTATGGGTGATGATTCTTGAATATGCTATAAATTAAACTATCCTAAAATTTTGAAAACAAAATAAATAAAATAAAATAAAAGCCCGGGTTGCCTTCCAAGAAGGGCTTCTTTTAAGTCACTACTTTACTTGTGCCGCTAATTTATCATGATGGCTCGAACCAAATTATTCCATCATTGCACTTTGTGCAACTCTTGTTTATGCACCCTTTCTTGACTTTCCATATTTTGATATTTCCATTTTTATCCCTATCAAAAAGTCCACCAAAATTTGATTTTCTTTTTTAACAACCTCGTTGATCAGGTGGCTCTTCTTCATCTACTCTACAGTAACTTTTGATGTTAGGGGTTTGCTCATATTGGGTGTAGATATTGAATATCTCTCGCTTGTCCTCCACCCTCAATATTATCTCACCATTCTCCATATCAATTAAGGTTCGCCCCGTTGATAAGAATGGCCGACCCAATATAACTGGAATGTCTCAATCTTCTGGTATGTCCAACACTATGAAGTCTACAGGAAATATGAAATTTTCTGCTTTTACGAGTACATCCTCAATTTTTGCCACGTGACCTTGCGATTGTTCTATCAGCCAGTTGTAGCATTATTAATGTTGAGTTGACTTCACCTAGTCCTAAATTCACTGTAAAGAGAATACGACATTAGATTGATACTAGCACCAGTGTCACACAATGCATTAATTGAACAGGAATCTTCAATTGAAATTGGTAAAGTAAAACTCCCTGGATCCTTCACTTTGGGAGGCAATTTGCTCTGGACTCTTGCACTACTTTCCTCAATTAATGCCACAGTTTCAAACTCCAGAAGCTTTCTTTTCTTTGTAACAACTCTTTCAAAAATTTTGCGTAGCTTGGAATTTGTAGTATCACATCAATAAATGTAACATTGATCTGGACTTCTTGAAAACATCGAGAAATTTTTCATAATTTGTGTCTTGTTTGCTCTTCTTGAGCTTTTGAGGAGAGAGAATGAGAGGCATGTCATCTTTGTTTAGACTTGGTGTTTTGGCAGCTGATGTTTCCGTACTTTTTCTATTTTCAGTTGTGTTTAGTGCAGATTTTCTACCATTGTAGCTTCATCAATCACTTTTTGGTCATCTTTTTCCTTTGGGTCTCTCTGTAGTGATTTCTGGCGATTGTACCTCGCTCTTTGTATTCATGACATGAATATTTTGCTCCATCGACTTCTTTCGAAGTCTTTAGGGAAATGGAAGTGAAGGTACATATGCTTTAACTTTCACGAGGGCCCTGGGTAGATCATTCTCCACTATTTTAATTACCATCACTTGTTCCTTAGAAGTTATTATTGTATTGCCTGGCAATGTCCCTTGTGAACGTTCTGCAAGTTGTTGTGCTATCTGACCAATTTATGTCTCCAGTTTCTTGATGGATGCCTGCTGATTTTGAAAGTTCGTGTCAATTTGATGGAACACCTTGTCCGTCTTCTACACATATTGTTGAAACATCTCCCCCAATCTTGGTCTTCCTTCTTGCTGGAAATTGTTCCCATATGAGTTGAAATTACGGGAGCTATTTTGAATAAAGTTTATTTGTTCCTCTGAAGAGGTGAGCATCATGCAACTCTCTGTAGCGTGATTTCTTCCACAATTCTCACGTGTTGAACTGGCCATCATTGCATTTGCTCCATGTGTTTGCACTTTTACAAGTAACTCTACAAGTTTTGTTAAAGCTGATATCGGTGCATTGGTAGATGTTGTGTTGTCTAATTCATACATTCCTGCTGCCTTTGGTGATACAACTCTTTTTGATAAGAACATTGAATGTGTGGTGGCAATTAACTCAAATAGGTCCATGGTTTGTTGCACTGATTTCCCTATGATTGATCCACCAATAGAGGCATCAACTTGAGATTTTAACAGTGGTGTAAGACCGGTGTAGAAGTACTGCACTTCGTTCCTAGAGTGATTCCATGGTTTGGACATTTTCTCATCAGCTCATTAAATCTATTACATGCTTCGTGAAAGTTTTCTCCCTCTTTCTGTTGAAAAATATGAATTTCCAATCTGATTTTAGTTATTCTGGTTGGTGGGAAGAATTTGTTGCAAAATTTCCTAGTCAGTTCTTCCCATGTAGTAATGCTGGCACGAGGCTCCGCATCTAACCACTCCAATGCATCATCTCTCAATGTAAATGAAAATAGTCGTAATTTAATAGCATCTTCATTGACCACATGAGCATGAAATTTCTGATAGTTTCTAAAAATTTTGGAAATATGTGTGTTCGGATTCTCATGAGGTAACTCGTAGAATTGCAGAGTGTTGCTCATCAAGTTAATCCAATCTAAAATTTATTCACCCCAAAATCTGGATACACGATATTGGAGTGCATGTATGCTGCTATAAGTGTCAGAAACATTGATATTGGCAAATCACCTTCATTTATTTCCTCTCTCATACTGCTGTTCCGTTGGTGCTACCACTCTTGCAGTCATTTGTCTAATCGGCTGAATAGGTATAGGGATTTGTTGATTGTCAGCCATTTGATGTTGCTGTTTTTGTTTGTATTTTTTGCGTCTTCGTCTGAAGGTACGTTCTATCTCCGAATCAAATGGTTCAAGATTGTCGCCTTTGGCACGTAGCATATAACGAACACAATTTTCTGTAAATAAAAGAAAAATAAACAAATCAAATAATAGTTAAAAAAATTTAAGATTAAAAGACATAGTCTCCGGTAACGGTGCCAAAAACTTGTTGTAAAATTTTGTTTCGCGAGTGTACGACCCATAACAAGTAATAGTAGACCTAAGAGTCCGGATTGTCTATCCTACAAGGACTATTTTCTAGCATTTAATTCAATTTTTTCTTTAACTACTATTTGATGGAAACAAATTAAAAATTGTATGATTTGAGTTTTAATCTAAAATCTAGAAAATAAATGAATACTCACACGATTGGTTGGAAAACAAATAATGAATGGATGTTATGGCAGAATAACTTCACATATTGATCACCATTACATCTCAAATTAAAACTCAATTCTAATGTAGTGTTCGATCGAGATCTCCTATTGTATTCAACTTACCCCTCTCGAGTTCTTATTGAGCCTATTCGACTAATTAAATTTCATATCTCTATGTAAGTTCAACTTAGTTAAACGAGTTCTTTGTCCTAGAAGTTCAATTATGACCGCAATAAATGGTATATGTATCTCTACTCATTATACAAATGTACTGAACTTTACTACCTGGTCTAAATCCTAAACTCATATCTCTATCCTTAAAGAATTCACACAAATTATCAAACTATTGATCAGATAATTCAATGCCTTCAATTCATAGTAAAATCAACACATGAAAAAATTAAAAACTAAGAATCTTAATAAGAGAACATAAAGGATCACAATTGGTTACATTATTCGCCCTAACAATAAATTTAACTATTCATAATGCAAGAAGAAAAATAATCAATTGTCTTAGAATACATCATTGGATTCGTAGAAGAAAAAGTAAAATTCTTGCACCAAGATTTCCTTCCCCTTCCAATCAATGCTTCAAATCTTCAATTATTTAGTGTTATTCTCCTTGAATTTCTTTTTTGAATCTCCCCTTTTTGTTGTCTTGCCTCCCAATGTGTGAAGAATCCCTCAAAAGTATGAGAAAGATGTATCTGTAGGTGTCCCCTACGTTTTCCGTAGAAATTAGGATTTTTATGGACTTTAAAACGGCCAAAAAAGTGCCCTAGATGACCTAGATGCAATGCCAAAGCGCTAGGAAATAGCGCCTAAGCACCGCGTCAATTTAACTGCAGTACCTAAGCGCTACATTTGGTAGCGCCTGGGCGCTATGATTGCAGTGCCTAGGTGTTGCCTCTCGGGTTCAAATATCAATTTTTCTTCAATTTTTTAGCTCCTTTTCTGCTCCAATTTCCTTATTTTTGATCTCTTCGTCTGCTTTAGTTCCTTTTTTTGCATCGCCTTTGATAATCTTCAAAACAACACTAACAAACACATAAAAAACGTTCTATGCTCACAAGATCTAGCAAATAATTAAGCTAAAATTGTGCAAAATTCATGAGTGAAACAAACTCATCAGAAGTGAACTGGATTTTTCTACACAGTAAATAGGGTCACCATGTACACACATCTCAGAGTAAAATAGGATCTTTAATCAGAGTAATTGAATTATTTTTACCATGTACATATATGTTCCCATTTGTGCATCGTTTAGAGAAAATTATAATTGGGTGAATAATTTAAAGGCAGGCAAACAGATTACAAGTTTGGTAACTAAAGCTTACTATATATTCTAATCATTCCAAATCAATAATGAAATCGTATTCTGGCCCTAAATGTTGTGAAATAGCAATTCACTGGCCACTGCCCAATGCACGCCCAAATAAATTGCTAGCTACATTCAATCCCACAAATCACATAAACATAATACCCAGGCCCCAACAACTCATTTTCAAACAGAAACCCTCGTCAAGTTTTAACAAACAAATGTAATATCAAATTGTAAGAAGCTGGGATTAGAAGGGTAGGGTTCATTGAAACTTACGGGAAGTGGAGAGATCCGAGCAGTGGCGAGAAAAAGAAATAAACCGAAATCAAATACTTTCAATGATGTCGGTGACTCACAGTGACCGACATATTTTGAGCGATTTCGCCGTAGACGTAGGATGAACTCTGTCGTTCGTGCTCTTTTCAATTTTAAGGGATTTAAATTTAACTATTTGGGCCGTTTGTGTCAAGGATTGGTGGGCTTCATAAATTTCAATTTTTTTACATACACGGCCCGTGTACTAAAAGCATGCCGTTAATGCTTGTTTAATACGGCGTGCAAAGGATGCACACCGTAAATACTTTAATTAAAGAATCTTTTACGGCATACATATAGTGCATGCCATAATTAGTCTCTTTTTACTGCATGCCGTAGATGCACGTCGTAAAAATGAATGCCGTAAAAGGCTCATTCGGCATGACGTAGGTCCTCATTTATTTGATGCACCTCATTCGGCACGTTGAGTTTGTTGGGAGTCATAAGAGTGTTGAGGAGTGGCAATTGTGCCCCTAATATTTAAAAAAAAAAAAAATATGTAGGTATTTTGAAAATTTTTAAGATATACATAATATATGTATTTTTTTTCCATTCGATATTCTTTTGGCCCTCCCTAATTGATAATCATGACTTCGACACTGGGCAATACTTCATATTTTCAAATCAACGAGGATGATGTGAGGGTTGAAAATTATGTAGGTCCTCCACGTTTATTTGTCTTGAGTTTGTTAGTTTCCTTTGATTTTCTCTTGACTTAATTAGCCTTTAAGGAGTTTCTCTTTTACAAGAGACCTCTTTACTATGAAGTTTTGTAACTCACGAGCAAAGCAACAAAGATTGCCCTGAACAATGTCAACACCAAAAGTAACTTTAGAATCCAAACAATTTTAATATCATTGTTGTTTTCACAATTGATTCTCTCATTTCCTATAGCAATCACAAAAAAACTACTGAAATAATCCTTCATCTTAGATGTGCTAATAATATATTCAGAATGGAATATGATTGTCCTCAAAAATAACTTTGAATTCGATTTCAATTACATTGATCTGTGTTGGAAAATAGAGTGATTTGTGTATAGATTTTTTATCAATGAATACAGTCAATTTATATAACATAACAAATATAATTCAATAATAATATAAATATAAAATAGAGAAGAGATTTAGAAAACAAGTTTTGGGAATCACGTCGAAAACTTTGTCTTAAAGTCGTGATACTTCCCCTTCATGCGGGTTCTTTCAGCACTATACGGCTCCAAAACAAAATTCATGCGGCTCTCCTTCTACGTGCACAACCATAGGGAGATAAGTGAACGAGTCTTTCATTGAGTTGGCAAAATAGTATGAATATAATATAAAATTATAGAGAATACAATACTTTAAGTTGTTGTAAAATATGTACAACAATGAAATCCAATCACTTTTTATAAGTAAAATTTAAACCCCCACATTTATACCATTACATAAGTTATAATATGTATTATGGTCTTTTAATTTTATGTTAAAAATAAAAATGAAGCACGTGTTTGTTTCCCATTCTTTCCCCATTAAAATGAAAAATATAACCGTTATTCATCACATTAAGCCACCAAATTTGAATTTCTATATTTCAAGTGGAGCCCGTAATAGTTATATTTTTCATTCTCACCTTCCAAAAATGAGAAACAAACGGGAGCTAAAAGGTTTTTAATTTGAAATGTTGAAATTTTTATTCTTAAGTTGTAACCTAAATTATGAGATTTAATTTTATATTAAAATCAAAATTGAAAATTAATATTTGTTGTAAAAGTTTTAAAACTTCTAAAAAATGTTCCAACAATCCTCCACAAGTTTTAAAATTTTAAAATAGATAAATATATATAATAATAGCAATATTATACTGTATAATGGGTGTAAGTGTCTTTTAGACTTGAACCTCACATAATAATAACAATTTCCATTTAAGAAAGCCATAATGGAGTAGTCTTGAATTAGGTCTCTTGGCCAAATTTCAATTGTTCTAAACAGTATCAATTTAAGCCCAATTCATTGCGGGTACGATGTTAATGGTCATGCACTCTAATCTTGATTCTAATAAGACTCTATGGAGAATAGCCCAATCCCACAACCATGGTCTTATGACAACTCTTACATAGGCGAGTCTTCCAAGGGTGTCTGTGATTCACACCTCAGGAGAATTATCATCTCGGTACTCATTCAAGGTTAAACCCTTCCTAATATCAAGTTATTATTAGCACTATCACCATAGGGATGTGCACAAATAAAATAGTGCTATTATAAGTCACGCAGTGTGGGTTGTTTCTACCACATTGAACCTTCTTCATAGGATATCCAATCACAAAGGTTGGGTTACTCTTGGAAGTGACTCCCTTATGGGCTTAAACCCATCCCGCTCAATGACCATAATTTATTTCATGTCCCTCTTGGACAATAATTTGATAACATTAATTTGCAAATCTTATTCTCCTCTTGCATATTCGTACATTTGCAAAGTCGCATAAGAAGTTTTTTCAAAATGTCAATATCGCATATATAATTATAATAATATAATTTCATGAAGTTTCAGATATTGGCTTCTAGTAACATGTTTGAGGAGATATATCTATTGAGCTCTTGCATTTCACATCCGCATTTTGAAGATATCCATCGTGTGGAGCTTCTTTGAAAATTTTTCATGCCTACAAACACGTCTAACCATTTTTAAAAAAAATGAGTGTCACAATAAATGAGAATAACTTAGATAGATTTAAATAAAAGTATGACATCTCGATATTCATCCAACTTTTCTTCGAGCATTGACCAAAGAAACGAAAAACTATATCAAATAATTTAATACCCCCACGTCTCAAGGAAATCCAACTTGAATTGAGTAAATATATGATATTACAATTTCTCTCTTTTGATAGGATTAAACATAGCGAGGAGATAATTGATGCATGTTTATCAATCTATACTTTCCTGATTTCCATCCACTAGTATATTTGCATTTTTTTAGCATTATTCCAATTAATTATTAGGAGCTTAAGGCATCATTATCATATCTCTTGTTCAATTCTTTCAGCTCATATGCACGCAAAGTTGTACATATACATCACACATAAAATTTGTTTATTTCACATTATATTTTCAAGCAACATAGTGCAGAGGTCGGATTACTCCTCATATATTTTGCCGTGTAAATAAATAGTTTGGAAATGTTTTTCATCTTCTCATTAATATTTATTTTAACCAAGCATCAAAATATAATTCTCATGACAATAATACTAATAGTTGAAATTTTCAATAGAATAAAATCACCATCAACCACAGGAGTTACACTTGATCTAATTATGCACATTAATTAAGAAATTAAACCTTTTGTAAAATATAATTCAGCAGATTTCATTTTAGCTCAAAAGAAATGAAAGTAACAAAGTTGACAACAACAAATGGCTGAAAATTTTGGGTTCTTTCACTTTTTTCTGTTTATTCTCCTTACAAGAATAAAAGTTTGAACAAGTTTTTCAAATAGCCTTTTGGTCAATAACTTCAATATTTGCAGTGAACTAGAAATTTATTTATTTTTTAGGGTCCTCCACATTTATTCAACTTACCTTATTCGATACGTTCATAGCTTTCTTTAACAACATGAATACCATATCACGTTTAAAAATATTAAATGATTAATGAGTATTGACCAAAATATACTTTTAACAAATAAATGTCGACTCCGAAGTAGAAGTATCTAATTGCTTGTGTTTGATGATGATTTTGTATTTTTCATGTATGGTTCTTAACCACAAACTCGATTAAAACTCCCCTTTCTCACATTTGTCATCGGATTTTGGAGCAAGATTTCACAACATTTGCCATGCAACTATATGCATAATACATATCAGGCAACTCCTCAGATTTTAGCATCACAAATAAGATAAAGGATGATGCCAAGGCGAACAGTAATGATTGTCGATAACAAACTGGCATGATCTATGCATATTTATTCGACGAGCTCAGTTTGTTAGCTTTCTTTAACAACATAAATACCATATTACATTCAAAAGTATTAAATGATTAACGAGTATCGACAAAAAAATACTTTTAAGGAATAAATGCAAACTGCGAATTAGAAAAATATAGTTGCTTGCGTTTAATGATGATTTTGAATATTTATTCGTTGTTCTCAACCACAAATTCTATTAGAATTTGTATTTCTCACTTTTTCATTGCATCTTGAAGAAAAAATTTGCAATATACCACCCCATGCAACCATATGCATAGTAGATATTAGGCAATTCCCCTATTAGAAAAAATAATAATAAGATCGAGAATGATGCCAAGGTGAAAGTTAAAGATGGTCAAATAAATAACCGACTAGCATGATGTAGTCCTACACACTTTTTTGACTCAACTTATTCTACGCACTGATTTTGTTAACTTTCTTTAATAACAAGAATATTGTAATACATTCAATAATATTAAATGATAACAAGTATTGACAAAAACATAATTTTAAGTAATAAATGAGAACTCCGAAATAGATGAATTCAATTGATCGCATTTGATGATGATTTTGCATATTTCATACATGGGTTTCAACCACAAACTATTCTATAACTTTTCTTTCTCACACTCGTCGTTGCATCTTGGAGCAACTATTATAATATGCCTGGTGCAAACCACGTGCATAATGGATATTAGGCAATTCTTCATATTTTAGCATCACAATATCTTGGTGCAAAATTTTACAATCTGCCCCTGTGCAACCACATGCACAATAAATATTAGGCAATTTTTCATACTTTAGTATCATAAAAATTGGAGCAAGAGTTTGCAATATGTCCCATGCAACAATATACATAGTAGATAGTAGGCAATTCCCTTGTCAAAAATAAGATCAAGAATGACGCCAATGTGAAAGCTAATGATAGTCAATAAATAACCAACTGGCATGAGGTAGGTCCTTCATATTTTTTCAACTTACCTTATTCGATGAATTGATTTTGTCAAACTTTCTTCACTAACAAGAATACATTTAATAACATGAAATGATAACGAGTATTGACAAAAACATACTTTTAAGTGATAAATGCAATCTCAAAAATAGAAGAATCCAATTGATCGCATTTGATGATGATTTTGCATATTTCACAC